ATGCCTTTAGTTTGTCTGCATTTTAGGTTCTGGCATCTTTTACTTCCTTTTTTGCAATAACTTTAAATATAAATGTGAATTCTGTGTGAATTTTCCTCCTGTTCAAGTCAAATACCATGTGCATACAGCTAAAGTTGAGGCCATTAAAACACCAGACATTTTTGTGACACGACCAGAGAGTAAGAATATTAGAAAATCTATCCTTCAGGAAAATTTTAGCGACAATATCTCCTGGACTCCAGTATGCCTCGAAATCCCAAACTAAAAGTGACCTTATTAAACTGCACATATTCACAAAGGAAACTAAAGAACTTTCACAGAAAAGGCCTCTTCAGCACCTTCCTTGGCTTCTTCCCTCCCTCTTTTTAGGAGCATATTTCTTATCTGTGAACTACTGCTGCTGTGGATTTTCACCCTGCAGGATGTGGTTAAGAATACCAGGTTGGTGGTTTACATATATACCACAGCCAAAAAAATAAAACAGCATAACTAAATGCAGCCTTCCTGCCCTTTTGTGACCGACATAACTCCACATAAAAGTTTGGCCTCAGTTTCCTTTCGCTTTTAGCAAATTTAAAAGTTCAATCAGCTAGTAAAAACACATAAGATGTGCTACCAGCTTTTCCTCACTCTCTTCTATATCTCTGCTCTCCACTCTCCTAGTAGATAACACTAATTACCCGCCGGTGACAGACTCCCATTAAGTTCTTCAGTTCTTATTAATTTGCACTTCCTTTTTTTTTTTTTTTTAAAAGAAGTTGTGATTATCCTGTTATTACTCAGAAGCAAACTATATATCTTCCACATCTTCATATGAAATGCACACATAGTGTAATACACTGCATTGTATTCGGGGATTGCTTTATTAAAGAGCAGCCTATAGTCTGCAGTTGTTTGACAGAAGGAAAAACTTCAATTGTGATTTTGTCAACAGCCTTTCATATTTTCACATCATGTTGAAGCTCAAATAGATCAGTATGTGTGCGGATTATAAGGTGAGCTTGTTTGTGAATGCCATCCATGGATTAATGCTCTATAGCATCAAATCTCACATTTTCTCTGATTTAAAAGACTTCATCCAGAACTGCAGCTAGTTTAGTCCCGACATGGAGCTGTGGTGTAACGTCATCACAGCTCCAGTCCCTTGGCAGGACTTGATTACGGAAGAGGATTAGGGCCACTGGAAAAAAAAAAAAATTAACTGATTTTTAAATTTTATTTCAATTTAGTATGGGAAAAAG